CTGCCCGTCTGGTTCTACCACTTGTTTTCTGCTCTTTGCCCCCCTCCTGCTAATTTCTCTCGTGCTCCATTCTTCTCCCTCCCCCTTCCACCCGTCCTCTCTTCCCTTGTTTTAGGGGCTGCACTAAATAGACGTGGCAAGTAAGGAAGATATACCCCCAATGGGGTACTATCTAAGACGACGAGGGCGGGTGCCGAGGTTTTGGGATATACGTATTACTTGGCACGTGAGCAGATAGGAGCGAACAATATTGGAAATGCTGTTGTTGTGATTTTTGTTTTTGTTTTTGTTGTTGTTGTTGTTGTTGTTGTTGTTGCTGTTGTTATGTTGTTGTGTTGTTGTTGTTGTTGTTGTTGTTGTTGTTGTTGAACATTATTACTTCTAAAGAATAATTATTGTTGGGGCCCCTGGTGCGCGGCCCCCTCGCCGCGCCTAGGCCGCAGCCATGTTTTCATCATTTTCGTGAGGAAGTCTCCAGGCAAAACGGGTTGGTCCGGATCCGGTTGTTTTGTTACGGGCGGTTTTCCCCTTGCAAAAAAATAAGGCAAAGTGGACATTTCTTGTTCTAACATAACCAAACTTCAAGAATCCCTTGCAAAAAAATAAGGTAAAGTGGACATTCGCGCGCGCAAGACGAAATCCTTCCAAAACCTTAGTGTTCGTAGCGATTTTAACATAAAAACATCAAAAAACCAATGGTTTTTTTCAAAAAAAGTGTCAAAATTTCATCCCGCGCGCTCTTGCGGATTTGTAGGAAACCCAACACTTTTTAAACATTTCTGTCAAACGGGCTTTTGCGAGCAACTTTTTCACGTGCTTCGAACTTCTCCAACAACGGTTGCGCACCTGCCAGGGCCATCATCCCTGTCATATAATACCATGCGGGACACATTCGTTTTTTCTTCGCGCGCGCACGCCGAAATCTTCAAAAACCATTGGGTTTCTTAGGAATTTTAGCACCGCGCAACATAAAATCATACGAATCGCACCGTAGGTCCTCGAAAAACATCTGTACGAATTTTCAAAATTTTCAAAACGTCGTATCAGACGCTAGCGCCTCACCAGCCAAAGCAGTCCATATCATTGTAGGACCCACAGACAGTACCGGCGTCGTACTGGTTTACCGTGGTTTCCTATTCTAGCGTCAGGAACACGTTACCACCAAAAACCAGTACAGGTGTCCAGTGTTGGAACAGGGGGAAAAGTCGTATACTAAGCTAGCGTCCAGAAAATGTTACCACAACAAGTCACTGTAACCATGCGCCAGTGTAGTAGCCACGGTCGTCCGCAGGCCACGAAGTGAAGTGTCCGAACGTCATAGGGCGGGAAGCTGGGTGTGGGTGGTGGCGAAGAGTCGTTTGGAAATGTGGTAGAGCTTGAACCGGCCCCCCCACAAAGTGGGGGTATTGCCCGCCTCCTATGAAAACCCTGGCACTGGTGAGAACGGAGTGTCCCCACGTGCTAGTAATTGGTGTTGTTGTTGTTGTTGTTGTTGTTGTTGTTGTTGTTGTTGTTGTTGTTGAACATTATTACTTCTAAAGAATAATTATTGTTGGGGCCCCTGGTGCACGGCCCCCTCGCCGCGCCTAGGCCGCAGCCATGTTTTCATCATTTTCGTGAGGAAGTCTCCGGCAAAACGGGTTGGTCCGGATCCGGTTGTTTTGTCCCCCCCCGCTTTCCCTTGCAAAAAACAATATAAAATGACATTTCTTGTTCTAACATAACCACATTTCAAGAATCCATTGCAAAAAATAAGGTAAAGTGGACATTCGCGCGCGCAAGACGAAATCCTTCCAAAAGCTTAGTGTTCGGAGCGATTTTAACATAAAAACATCAAAAAACCAATGGTTTTTCAACATAAAAATGTCAAAATCTCATCCCGCGCGCTCTTGCGGATTCGTAGGAAAACCAACACTTTTTAAACATTTCTGTCAAACGGGCTTTTGCGAGCAACTTTTTCGAAATTCTGCGACAACGGTTGCGCACCTGCCAGGGCCATCATCCCTGTCAAATAATACCATGCGGGACAGATTCGTTTTTTCTTCGCGCGCGCACGCCGAAATCTCCAAAAACCATTGGGTTCTTAAGAATTTTAGCACCGCGCATCATAAAATCAAACGAATCGCACCGTAGGTCCTCGAAAAACAGCTGCACGACTTTTCAAAATTTCCACCCGCGCGCGCTGTCCGAATCCTAAAAAAACCAATGGTTTTCCAACATTTATGTTACATGAGCTCGCGCGAGCTACTTTCGCACGCTCTTGCAACGGGGTTCGCGCGCCTGCCAGGGGCCAGAAACCCTTGCGGAGCAACGGGGTTCGAGCAAGGCACATGCGCGCCCCGAATAAGTGACCAAGTTCTGTGGGTGTGTACCCCACGCCAGTGTAGTAGCCACGGTCGTCCGCACGCCACGAAGTGAAGTGTCCCAACGTCATAGGGCGGGAAGCTGGGTTTGGGTGGTCGCGAAGAGTCGTTTGGATATTTGGTAGAGCTTGTAATGCCCCCCCACGAAGTGGGGGTATTGCCTGGTGTCGGATGAAAACCCTGGCACTGGGGAGAACACCCACGCGCTTCGGCTAAAAATGGATTGTGTGTTGTTGTTGTTGTTGTTGTGTTGTGTTGTGTTGTTTTCGTTGTTGGCTGCTGCTGTTGTTTGTGCTTGTTGTATGTTGTTTGTTGTTGAACTCTCATTCT